TCACATGTGAACACACGTGCATGCATTCACAGTTTGCAACACGACGGGGGACAAAGATGGTCCCCAAAAGCTCTGAAACACAGGCATGTGTGCCTCACTTGTTACCAGAAAGGAAACGGAAACGAGGTCAAGTGCTGGTTTTTACAACAGAGCTACTTCTGAAGCCAGTAGGCCCACGGCGCTCTCTGCCTTGAAAACACTGTCATTTTTCTATACAGTGGATAATAAGCTTTCATTTTCCCGGGGGTAGGGATTGGAAACACGGTGTGGGAAACACCACGGTCAAAGGAAAACAGATTTGGCTGTATGTGTATTTTAAGACCCTCCGACAGGCATCTGGAGCAATCTCCTAAGAGGTGCCCACGACATTTTCTGTTGCTTTCCCCCTTCCCCTCCCAGTAATTATTTCTACAGACTCCTTTGTGCCCTTTTACATTCGCTACTTGGGAGAATCCTAAAAGACCTCATCAGAATGAGCTAATTAACGATGAAATTGTTTACAGCCTTCTCATCTTACAAAGGGGCAAATGAGCAGTGGACGTATAAAGTAACGGATCCCAAAAGATCCATCAGAATTGCTCACCTATTGGAACAGGTGTTTCCAGAAAAATCAAATGTGAGTTTCAGCCTAGCAAACCCTCTCCTAGCACTGACTTTTGTTAAAAATCAGAAATGCATTCCCGCAAAAGGACACACAAGTGATGACTTCATCGAACTCAGCAAACATTTATTGATGCCTTGGCTGCACGTTGTGGTCTTAGGCCTGCAGAGGTCACAGGGCAGAGTGACTTAGCTCCCAAGGAGTTGGGGCCCAGGTGCAGGGCAGGCGCTGAGTGCTCCAGTTATTGTTATGAAACAGAAAGGGACCAGGACAGGGAGAGGGTCAAAGAACCTGGGGCTAGGGAAGATGAAGGATAGTCCCAGATCTGACAGTTGGAGGCTGTCCTAAATGTGGGCATCTTTGTAATGGGGCTTTATAGAAGCCTCAAGCAGATATGCCTACGTCCTAATCCCCGGACCTTGTAAATAGGACGGTTGTGGTCTTTGTGCTGCTATGACAAAATACCATAGACTAATTCATAAATGACAGAAATGTATGTCTCACAGTTCTAGAGGCAGGGAAACCCCAGGTCAAGGGGCCAGCGGATGTGATACCTGAATAGGGCTGACGTCAATTCCAATATGGCGTCTTGCTGCTTGGTCCTCCAGAGAGACAGAAGAGAGGGCTTATACCCTTGGGTCCTTTCACAAAATCTTAACCTGGCTCATGAGTACAGAGCCCTCATGGCCCAATCACCCCCAGAAGGTCACGCTTACGCTGGTGCCATGGTGGTTCCCTTCAACATGCATTTGGTAGGGGCCACAAGCATTCCAACATGGTGGTGACATTATTTTGGAAAGGATCTTGAGAAAATCTTCTGAGATTACCCAATGTGCCCTAAATTCCGTGGTAGGTACCTCTGTAAGAAACTTGCAGAGGAAGTTCTGAAGGCCAGCAAAAGAAGAGGCCACCAGGTGACCACAGAGGCAGAGATGGGGGACAAGGCCACAGGCAAGGGAAAGCTGGCAGCCACCAGCAGCTGACAGAAGCCACCTCCAGATTCTCTTACAGCGTCCAGAGGGAGTACCACTCAGCTGGCACTGTGGTTTCTGACTTTGTCCTCTACAACCCCTAGAGGACACACATTTGTATTTACACAATTTGTGTGGTGTTGTAATTTGTGATGGTGACCGCAGGAAACCTCCTGGGGCTGGCAGCCATGCAGCCTATAGGGCAAAGGCAAGCCCAGAGCAGAACAGTTTTTACCTCATCCAGGTTTTCTCAAGCCACAAGAGGAAGGGCACTGTGAAGGTTACTTACGCGCGTCAATTTGACTGGGACACAGGTGCCCGCATTATTTCTGGGTGTGTCTGGGGGGGTGTTTTTAGAGAGGACTGCAATTATAACAGGTAGACTCAATAAAGCATATGGTCCTCCCAGTGTGGGTGGACCCCTTTGAACTGCGGAGGGCCCCATGCTTCTACCCCACTGCTTGAGCAGGGACATCCCATCTCCTTTTGGACCCCACGACTGCGATGTACACCAGGATCTCAGGCCTTCAGATTAGGACTGAATGACACCCCTGCATTTCCTGGGTCTCCAGCTTGCAGACTGGGCCTTGTCAGCCTCATAGTTACCTTGAGCCAACTCCTCATCTAGGTCTCTGGAGAGGCCTGACTAATGCTGGTGTTTAGAGAACCGTGTCCTTGCACAGAGCTGAACTGCATATGACAAGGTGCTAAACCTGCCTGACCTTGTCGTGATCTTTTCTTTCTTTTTTGTGGTACTGGGGTTTGAACTCACCCACACCTTGAGTCATCCACCAGCCCTTTTTGTGATGGGCTTTTTCAAGATAGGGTCTCGCAAACTATTTGCCTGGGGTGGCTTCGAACCGTGATCCTCCTGCTCTCTACCTCCTGAGTAGCTAGGATTACAGGAGTGAACCACCAGAGTCTGACTTGATAGCCTTTCTTAATCATTCTGGCAGCGAATTCCCTTGACATCCCCAAATTTCCAAAAGTCCCCTGCAGAGCAGTTCTGTATCTGGTTTGACCAATCTTGAGCTGTAGAGGGCCTGGAAAAAGAAGAAAGGCTATCAAGCAGTTTTTACCTGGAAGGATTAAAAGCAGCTTGCACTGCTGAATTGTTAGGCTCTCCCCTCCCTCCTTCCCTCTCTCCCTCCCTTTTTCCTTTCTTCATTCTCTACAATTTTATTTCTTGTCTATCATTAGAAATTCACATTGAGGGCTGGAGACATAGCTCAGCAGTAGACTGCCTGCATAGCAAGCAAGAAAAAAGAAAGAAAAAGAAATATATGTTGAATTATATTGAATGTGCTTATTGTACCAAATATGATTTTTCTTCTGTTAGTCTACTAATTTAGGTTACTTTGAAAGAGATGACTTACCTTAAGCCCAGCCTCTCATTTTCCTTTCTTTCTTTATTTGCAGCACTGGGGTTTGAACTCAGAGCCTCACACTTGCTAGGCAAGCACTCCTACCACTTGAGCCAATCCACCAGCCCTTTTTTGGGATGGTTTTTTGGAGACAGTCTCTCAAATTATTTGTCTGGGGCTGGCTTTGAACCTACTGATCTCTGCTTCCCGAGTAGCTAGGTGTGAGTCACCAGCGCATGGTCAGGACCACACTTGGGCGTCAGTCTTCTGCCACTATGATGCATACCTGAGGTCATCAACTTATGAAAAGGGAAGGCTGATTTTGACTCACAGTTTTGGTGGTCACAGTTCCTGACCACTGGTCAGGGCTCTTGCCTTTTGGCCTATGGCAAGGCAACACATCATGGTGCGTGGCACAGTAAAACTTTTCACCTCAAGGCCAGGGAGCAAAAGAGAAGAAGGAGTTATGTCTTTAATAGCGAACTCCCCAAGGGCCTAAGGGACTCCCCCCAGCCCCACCTCTTATAGCTTCTAATGGCTCCTACTGCACCTTCCAGGAAACCAAGTCTTCATCACACGTGCCTAGAGGGACATTCAACATCCAAAACCAGAGCCCACTCAGAACTCCTTTTCTAAAATTGCTTCACAAAACCTTTTGTGCCAACTCTGCAGCTTTTTCCCCTTCTGGTCTGCCTAGAAGAATCTCCCGAACAGCATTTTTTTTGGGGGGGGGTGTGGTACTGGGGCTTTGAACTCAGAGCTTCATGCTTGCTAGGCAGGCACTCTACTGTTTGAGCCTCTCCATCACCCCTTTTTTTGTGATGGGTTTTTTTGAGTTAGGGTCTCACGAACTATTTGCCTGGGCTGGCTTCAACCCTCGATCCTCCTGATCTCTGCCTCTGAGTAGCTAGGATTACAGGCGTGAGCCATAGGTGCCCGACTCCCCTGACAGCTTTTGAAGGTGCTTACTCAATGCTCACCTTCCCAGAGGCATTTATCCCTAAGCAGTGGCTAGGTCTGCTTGACTGTGCTCAGGAAGCTAGAAAATAGCAAGATTCAGTGTCGTTTTTGGGGGAGAGAGGCCATGTGAATCTGATTGCCCTACAGAAGTCATATAAACCTCTTTCCTTCTCCCTGCTCTACTGAGAGGAGGGGCAGTAGGTCCAGCTGTGCAGGGTTTCCTTGTAGGACTGCCTTTAGACTAAGGTTTGGGTCTGCATAAATTCTTTCTTAGCATGGTGTGGGTTTTTAAATCCATACAGATGCCACAAGCCAAAACCTTCTGCTTCCTGCTTTCTCCCTCCCTCCCTGGTGTGCTGTGACCAGTGCACTTCTCACAGGAGGGTCCCCTGTGCTCCTGGGGACATCCACTCCCTCTCACTGTGATCCTCCAATAGCTTTCTTCATTTCCCTCATTCTTTGCGGCATTTCCCTCCTCTGAAGTTTTAGGGTTATGTCTCCTGGTATATCACTAGAACTGAGCCCAGGGGGTCCTGGGACTAAGGTCTCCTAGAAGGTCCTTGTGGGAAATGAGGCTCAGAACCCCTCAGCACTATGTGGGCTTGAACCCCAGGACTCCACTGGTCCCCTAGGGAAGAGCCCTTCACCTTCCACTGTACCCATGGGAGTGCACTCATGGCCATCACTGGTCCCCTTGGGACCCGGCCACCGGTGGTCCGGATCCCTGTGGGAATGGTCCGGCCCTCGAGCTCGCGCCTGCTGGACCCCGCGGGGCCTCCCTGCGCCCCCCCTCGCGCCCCCTCCGGGTCCCATCTCCTCCCCACTCCCAGCCTCCTCCCTGTCCCTTTCCCGTCCCCTCCCCGACCCCTTCCCCGTTCCCTCCTGTCTCCTCCTCACCCCCTGTCCGTCCCCTCCCCACTCCCCGCCCCCTGCCCGTCCCCTCCCCCGTCCCCGCCCGTCCCCTCCCGGGTCTGCGCCCTCTCCAGGCTTGGGAACCTGCAGGCGCGGCCTGGAGAGCGGCAGGCGGGACCGGGACCCACCCAGAGCTGCCCCGCTCCAGGTGGGAGCGGTGGCCCGGTTGATGGCCAGGGTGGCGGCGGCGGCATGCGGCTGTTGTTCCTGGCGGTGCTGCGGCCGCACACTGGTAACGCCGTCACCGCCAAGCGCGTCCGGTAGGTGCGGGCCGAGCCGGCCTGCGCATCCCGCGCGGGGAGCCGGGCGCGGGGAGCCGGGAGCGGGGCACGGGGAGCGGGGCTCGGGGAGCCAGGAGCGGGGAGCCGGGCGTGGAGAGCCGGGAGCGGGGCACGGGGAGCGGGGAGCCAGGAGCGGGGCGCGAGGCGCGGGGAGCGGGGACCCGGGCGTGGGGTCCGGGGCTTTCGAGCCGCGCGCTCAAACGGACTGGCCGGGCGCGGGCCAGCGCGGCCTGGTCGCCCACCTGGGCGGGGGCGGCGCGTGGGGAGGGGGCGATCGGCCCGCGCGGCGTGAGCACTGATGTCCCCGAACGTCGTTGCGCCGCTGTCCCACGTCTCGCTCCCTTGGGAACGCGCTGGAGCCGGGGGCGCAGGCAAGGGACGCAGCGAGGGGCCGCCGGGCGCAGGGAGGCCTTGGGGGTCCGGGCTCAGTAGACCCCTGGGAGGCCGGCGGGGACCACGCGGCCCGGCGCCTGCACAGACCCTGTTCTGTCACCAGGGTTTGCTTTGTGGGGCGCCTGCCTTTCCCTCCCGCATCTTTTGTCCACCCTCCATTTCCCTGTCTGAAGAGCTTAGCGCTCATCTTTTCTGCCATTGTCTTGCCCTGTGTGGGTTTATCTGCTCTTCTTCTGGCTACATGAACGCGAGGCCGGCGCCAGTAGGACATCTCTGGCTGCCGGCCTGGGTTGTGGCAGCAGTGGTCTGTACTAGCGGGATGAAGGAATTACCTGAGGCAGGTGTGGAAATGCCTGGACAGTGTCCTCTGGAACCCACAGAAGCATGCTCTTTTCTTTCGTCCTCCCTCTTTCCCTCGCTCTCGCTCTCCTCCTCTCTTCTTCTCTCTCCCCTCCTCCCTCTTCCTCCTCCTCCCTCTCCCCTTCCTCTCTCTTCTCCAAACTGACTAGCTTCACGAAATTTTCCCAATTGCTTCCCTTCTGTGGGTCTTGTTTCCTCATGGTTAGGATTTGCAATCAGAGCTTCACCAGCTCCTGCAGGCCTGGTGAGTGAAAGGATCAGTAGATGATAAACCCATCTTCTGAAATTTACTGGAGAATTCACAGTCAGGGTTTTTATTGTGTAAGTTTTTCCTAAATCTAATACAAGTACATTTCATTCACTCAGAGGACTAAGAAAAGGTGGCCAACTGTGGTCTCCAGTTGGGTGGTACACATTGTAGAGGGGAAGAGAGATACCAGAGGAAACAGAAGTGAGGAGCAAATTCCAGATGGTGACTGGCACTACTGAGAAAACAAAAAAACTAGATGCCAGCATGGCATTGTGGTACACACCTGTAATCCCAGCACTTGGGACTCTGAGGCAGGAGGAGCTCATGTCCCAGGCTGGCCTGGGCTACATAGGGAGACCCTATCTCAAAAAAAGAAAAGAAGAAAACCAAACAAAATTTCAAGTGGGCTGCTTTAGAAAATGATGTCTGGAGAGGACTGTTTGAGGAGGTAGCATTTAAGTTGAGACCAAAAGGAGCTGAGATCTGGGAGGACGTCCTCAGAAGGGGGGGCGGGTAGCAAGAAGGCAGGTCCTGAGGCAGTGCAAACCCTGAAAGTCCGAGAAACAGAACAAAAGGAGGGCCACTGGAGGGTGGTGACTTTGGGACCAGAGCTAGGAAACGAGGTCAGCAGAGGCCAGGTGCAGCTGTTTGTCTGCGTGGAGGGGAGAAGACATTGTGCCTAAAAAAACAGAGACCTGAGTACCTGTCATCTAACATCTGTAGGCGGGAAAGGGAAGGCTTCCCTTTGCCTCTGCGGGTTCTTAGTGCATGGAGCAACAACAGACAGCTTAAGTAGGCCAAAAGACACAGAAACTTATTCCATGCAAGGCGCCACCTGCAAAGCAGCATAATTACCCTTGAGCCGCCAACCTTGTCTATCTCTTTCCATAGTGGAGCAAGAGTGCGGAAGGTAGGCAGTTTCTAGGGGAATAGTGACTTCTCGGGAACTCCATTGGGTCTGGAGAAGCGTACAGTGGCCTGGGACAAAATCATTGGCCCTTAGAGCAGATGATGGGCTGTAAATGACTCTGGAATATTGAATGGAGACAAAATAGGAGACACTGGGATGATGTGACAAAAGTCTGTCCAGGTGTGCAAACTTTAGTTTTGCAACTTGAGTGTGCTGCATGGAAAATCAGGAAAGGATCAGAGGTCACTGTCTTCTTCCTTGGGGGATCTAGACTTGTAGCAGACAAGAAGATAGCAGAATAAAGCCTCTTTCATCATCTGCTGCTCTTAAAATTAAAGATTAAAAAAAAACCCTCAGCATTTGGGGCTGGGTGTGCTGCATATGCTATAATCCCAGCTACCCAGGAGGTATAAGTAGGAGGATTGCAGTCCAAGACAGGGGGAAAAATTGTGAGAGCTTCTCTGAAAAACTAATTCAAGCAAAAGGACTGGGAATGTGGTTCAAGTGATAGAGCATTTGTGCGAGGTCCTGAGTTCAAACTACAGTGCCACCAAAAAATATTAAGAATAATCACAGTTCACCAGGGCATTATGTTTTGGGGTGACCATCCTGAACTCCTTTTCAATTCCTGACTCAAACTATAGATCCAGGTTTTCCAAGGGCCAGAACCCACACTGTCTGAAAGACCACTTGTTACTTTTAACTTTTGTCCTAATTCAAGATAAGGGGAAGGATCACTTAGTCAATCACTGTTCCTGCATCCACTCATCCACTCCCCATTCCTTCCTACAACAGGTTTGTTAGGCACCTGTGACTTTGCACATCTTGGTGTGCCTTGGGGATGCAGAAAGGCGCAAGGCAGGCCTGGTCCTGGAAGGCGGACCTTAAGCGGGGCATGCAGGGCCACTCAGTTACTTCCTTTTTTGTTCTGTTTTCCTGGCACTACACAGAGGGAAGTTTGTTCTTTGTACTTTGGTGTCTATTAAGAGCCAATGTTTGCCTCCTCTAACCTCAGGAAGAATTGCAGGGAGGAGAAGGAGGAAAAGAAAAGCAAAAGTGGCTGAGACATTTCCCTGAAAAGCTCTGATTCCTGAAGATGGATGCTGGTGTCCTGAAAGGGGAAGGGAGATTCCTAAGGTGATGGGGATTCCCTGTGAGTCAATCAGTAGTGAGCAGAGAGGACTGGAGGAAGTCCTTAAAAATTCCCTACAAAAGATGCTGGTGACCTTCAAGTGTCCTTGTGTGTCAGAGAGGGAGCCTCCAAATGGAAAGACTGGAGCTGCCATTAGCCCAGTAGATAAGTTAACTGAGTTAGATAAGACCAGATTGTGACAAAGGAAGAGACGGTTCCATTCTCACACCAATGCAGGTGTGGCGACACACATCTATAGTCCCAGATAGTCAGGAGGCTGATGCACTTGAGCCCAGGAGATCAAGGCTAGCATGGGCAACATGGCAAGACCCCATCTTTTAATTTTTTCAACTTGACACCTGATGCATAAATGATGATGCCGATGTTCTGGCTGTATTGCTCTGACAGCACAGGTGGAGGATTCTTGCAGAGCAGAGGTCGGGGAAAGCCTTCCAGTGCCCCCAGATGCTTACAAATGGCAGCTCTATCCAGGTGGCTTCATTGCTTTGTGACTGAGTGTTCTTATTTGTCGTGGTGCTGCTGGGCGACCCATCTGGTAGGGTTGTTGTAGGGAAAGCTGAGTTAGTGCATTTTCTGTGCTTGGAAACAGTGTCTGGCATGGTGGGTAATGTGAGCTGTTTTTTTTTTTTTTTTTTTATGCTACCATGCAACAAAACCTTTATTAACATTTTGAACAGGCTCAGCTATTACTACTGAAACTGGTAATTTCTAAACTTAAATTGGGCAAATAGCTATAGAGCAGAGTAATAGCATCACTGGGCACTGGGAATGAAGACTAGAATTAACAGCCACCCCTCAGACGGAGGACCAGGTGCAGGGTGGATTCTTTCTGGATGTTGTAGTCAGAAAGGGTGCGGCCATCTTCCAGCTGCTTGCCTGCAAAGATGAGCCTCTGCTGGTCAGGGGGAATGCCTTCTTTATCCTGGATCTTGGCTTTCACATTCTCGATGGTGTCACTGGGCTCCACTTCCAGGGTGATGGTCTTGCCGGTCAGGGTCTTCACGAAGATCTGCATGCCGCCCCTCAGACGGAGGACCAGGTGGAGGGTGGACTCTTTCTGGATGTTGTAGTCAGAAAGGGTGCGGCCATCTTCCAGCTGCTTGCCTGCAAAGATGAGCCTCTGCTGGTCAGGGGGAATGCCTTCTTTATCCTGGATCTTGGCTTTCACATTCTCGATGGTGTCACTGGGCTCCACTTCCAGGGTGATGGTCTTGCCGGTCAGGGTCTTCACGAAGATCTGCATGCCGCCCTCAGACGGAGGACCAGGTGGAGGGTGGATTCTTTCTGGATGTTGTAGTCAGAAAGGGTGCGGCCATCTTCCAGCTGCTTGCCTGCAAAGATGAGCCTCTGCTGGTCAGGGGGAATGCCTTCTTTATCCTGGATCTTGGCTTTCACATTCTCGATGGTGTCACTGGGCTCCACTTCCAGGGTGATGGTCTTGCCGGTCAGGGTCTTCACGAAGATCTGCATGCCGCCCCTCAGACGGAGGACCAGGTGGAGGGTGGATTCTTTCTGGATATTGTAGTCAGAAAGGGTGCGGCCATCTTCCAGCTGCTTGCCTGCAAAGATGAGCCTCTGCTGGTCAGGGGGAATGCCTTCTTTATCCTGGATCTTGGCTTTCACATTCTCGATGGTGTCACTGGGCTCCACTTCCAGGGTGATGGTCTTGCCGGTCAGGGTCTTCACGAAGATCTGCATTTTGACCTCTTTTCCTTCTTCCCCCTCTCAAGCAAGCGCGATGGAATGTGAGCTGTTGATGAGAAACAAAGACCTTAGTTACTGCAGGAGAGTGGGGGCAGGAGGGTGTCTCTGCAGATGGAGGGTGGGGTGCTGGGAATCCAAGAGTTGTGCTACCTTAACAGAATAGAATGTTTTAGATCAGTGGGCCCCAGTGGAAGCAAGGATGGAGAGGA